GCTCTTCCACTTCCATCAGCACACCGCTAGCAGCCACCGAGCCCCTATATCCCCCTTCTAGGGAGTCTCCAGCCACCATCCCACATTGTCACGCCTAATCCGCCGCCTCACAGGACCGTTTCTGTTTCGTGCTTAGTATAATTCTGCATTTGTTATTTCATTCACCGCTTATGTGTTATTTCGTTTGTCATTTATGTGTTATTTCTTCTGTTTATATGTTATTGTTTGTGAAGAGTCATCATTGCTCTTGTTTTAAAATTTAGCAAATTCGTCAGGTACAAGTCATGGTTTGTGTTAACTCTGGTATCATGCAATATCCAAGTTATTAGTGCTCGTCTAAGAGCCTTCTTGGTAGCATAAAAATGTAGACCTCAAAATCATAACTTTCACCATGACATCAAAATGTAATGAATAAAATCCTTAGAAGTTGATTAAAAGAAACAAGTTGAAGCTATAGTGTATTTCACCCCATGCTTTGAATTGAAAGAATTGGTTTACAAAGCAATGCAAAACAACAAGCTAATTATGAAGGCCCCACTACAAGAACAAGATGTAGAACTCAAGATAAAATCAAGGGTAAAGATACCAGAATTATGAATAAAGAGCCTTGCATCGAACTCCAAAAAAATGTAATAATAATTAAAGCCTGAATTTAAAAAATTCTAGTTAAAAAATTTTAAAATTTAAACTCTCATTTCTAATGCCCATATGAAAAGCTTTGAAATATTTTTTTCCATTATTTCAATCAGCTTTAAATTGATTAGGAAGTCCCTTAGTTGGCAGCCAAGGCTCGGACCCCCATTCATAATTCAAATTCCTTGATTATAGGAGGTTGATTGGAATGGTGTAAACTCCCCTTCTTCTTTTGTTGGCCCTTTCCCTCCTCATTATTTTGTTTTTCCAATTCTGAAACTTTAGGAATGCTGCAATACATAAATATTTCCTAAAAGAAATGAAATTCCGTATTTTTTTCTTTTGGATCTTGGTGGCTGGCCTTTTGGCTTCTCCTTAGGGAGAGAGCTAGGTATCCTCTTAGATTTCCTTCTCTCTTTCAACCTCACATCCATTCGCATCACATCTTCTCTTGCATCCTTTACAACCATCTAATTCCATTCCCAAAACCCCAGTCCTTCAAAAATCTTAAATCACTTCAAAAAGCTCTAGGCCATATTACGTTCATATCACCTAATCCTAATTTATCTGCTTCTACTAGCCCCTAAACCTATTAGAACTTTATCATCTACTTCAATATTAACCTATATAAACCCCTCTAATATTCCCCAGATATTGCACCATCTTTTCCCACTATTTTCCTAAGCCCAAACTATGCCGATGAGCCAAACAGCTTTTCTGATACCTAGTTTTGGTTTCTCTCCGCTTGCAAGCATTGACATATAGGACTCTTAACAACTACTTCAGAATAAATCTCCAAAAATTACCTAGCCTTTCAAGTGAAACCATGGAGTAAATCCCCCTGCCCCCCAAGCCACAAACCTAATTGAGCAACTATTTTATTTCAAATTTTTCTTTATCAATGACTGAACCTGAAGTTTTAATCAAAATTTGGTACATTAATAAAAGATGGTAGCTCGCACCTTTACATACAAACTTCTATAGAATAGAAAAAAATACACTAGAAGTTTTAAAACTGGAACACTTCATTTCTGTCATTTGCATGAATAAACATGGCTGAACTTGAAGAAGGTAACTTCAAACAAAAACTGAATTATTGAAAGGGGCATTTACATACATACCATGCAATTCCTATGTATTTTTATATTTAACACCTAAACTTTGCTTTTTACATTTATTCCACTTAAATCTTTCATATCACATCAAAAATACCATTTCTTTAACTTGTAAAAGTGATAAACACATTTTCATGCATATAAAATGTGGTAAATATGTAAAAGTTGAAGTTTAGGAGTATATATGAAAATAGATAGGAACTGAGTAGTATGTATGTACGTCTTCCTTATTTAAAACATCGCTATAGCTAATCTATAGCTAGATTACTTCAACTGATGACACCATTCCACACAAATAACAGACTGAAGTTGCATAATTTCATAATAAATAACATAAAAAATACCTGTAGATCAAGGGATTTTAGAAACTTGCAATTCTCGGCTATACTACTCAATCCCAGTGATGTGAGATTTGAACACCATATCAGACATAGCTTTTGAAGTGCCTTACAGCCATTGGCAAGAGAAGATAAACCGACATCAGTAAGACACAGCTGCTCAAACTCACTTTCCTCAGCCTCACTATCATTTATGAGATGATGGTCACCTGAAGTTAAACTGGCACGTCTCCTTTTCTGCATAAACAAATTTAAGAAGCTAACTAAATCAAGTTTGCAGGGCACTGAAGACTATTTGTAGTGGTTGAGAAACCTATTTCTCATATTCTCAAAGTAATAACTGCTTTTCGAGGTTTAAATTTAATCAACTAGTTTATTCTTCGCATCTAAACGTGTGCCCTTTTTAACCCTACACACTCACAAATTGCTGATGGAAAGACAAAAGAAAAACAAAAAGAATGAATATGAAATTGAAATGTAAATTATGTAGTAGTGAGATACATTTAATGGTCAATATGTAATCAGAAGTATATACATCCCGAAAACATGTATGAGCTTGTCAGCACAGCCTGATAAGCGCAAAGACCACATAGTCTCTTCGCAAAATCAAAATCAAAGAATGGCATAGCAGTTTAATAGCAAGTTAAAAGATAATTTGATATGAAAATATTTTACAACAAAAGAGTGACTTATCAAAATTTAATTTATGAAGCAAACTTAATTATGGAGTGTTGCAAGCAAGAATTTAATTTATGAAGCAAACTTAATTATGGAGTGTTGTCGTAAGTGCAAGCAAGATGGTACTTTTTTTGCTATTAAAAAGAGAGAAAATTTAATAATAGCAGCTCTTATCACTATTCAAGAAGGATAGATAATGGATCTAGGGGTTGTTTGAACCAGTACTATTTAAAAATAAAAAATAATAACTAGAAAATTATAATAGTACCACAATAATAATTACCAATAATTGCTAGAAAAAAAAAATATAACAGTACTGAAAAAGAAAACAAAAAAACTAATGAACAAACATCCTGCGGATAATAAAAATCACAAAGTACTCATTTGGATCATCTAGCTTGAATTCTTATGAATACATGAGTGATGACAGATTTTCTGAGTTTTTAGAATAATTTCCAGGTTTTAATTTGAAATAAACATATTGAAAGCCAAACAGTGTTTAAGACTTGATGAAAACTAAATATATTTTTCAAGATTTAAATCTACAAATTTTTTTTCATCGAGGTTTATGAGATTTAATAAAACCTATTTTACTTAAATCCTAAACCCTAGTCTAGAAAAAATTAAAATTCTTCAATGTACCAAGTTTCTACAGGAAAACAATCTTAATAGTCCACTACAATTCAATCCAAACACAAGCAAATAATTTTTCAAAAGTGGGAAAACTACCATAGAAATTACACAAAAACCACAGCCAATCATTCTAGAGTGTATTCGGTTGCTTCAAGTTAAAAAATGGTTTTTAAAAAACTGAGTTTAGTAGATTTACTCATATGATTGGATCTAATAATAAATCAATATTGATTTCAAACTCTTAAAGCACCTTCAAAATCTATATTATTACCAAAAAAATCACTTGAAATCTCACCCATAAGAAAAACAACCAATCAGATTATTCTCTTGCAACAGTGTTTTTACTTAACATTAGAATTTAGATATTGATACTTTTCTAGAGCTCCAAGAAAGTGTTAGGAAGGGAATTTAGCAGGAAGGTGGTTGTGGAGTGACAAAAGAATGATAAAATGCAAATTTGACGGCATTTGAAAAGAGATAAACATCATTAGATAGCTGTCCGACTAAAAACAATAAAGAAAACTCTGAATCAACGATTCTTGGGTGGCAAAGAGGTTCCCCACCTATTCCCAAGAAAAATGCAGACACCTCACTTGCAAAAGGAAGAGGACATAATGCTCCTAAAGCAGAATCTCAGAGATTACAATCTCCACAAGACTCAAAACAAAACAAAAATCTGCCTAAAAATAAGAAAATAGCAAAATATAAATAGTTCCCTCTTAAAATCATAATTCTAATTAAGAAAATATTAAATATAGGCCCACAGGGGCTGGCTGCAGTGAAATAGCGGAAAAGTTGGCTCGCCTAGCTTGTGGATCGTAGAAATTGCACCTATCGGGACGAAATCAAGTCATGTTCGCCATCCTATGTGTGTGAAATCGATTCCCCTAATCGCAGTAATTACACGATCGTCAAACCGCAAAATGCGTTGTTTATAGGAGAGCTCCCGCATAATTCTCTTTGGGTAAGAGAGGCTTCGCCTATTTTACTGGAAGCTTTTGGAATCGATCTACCAGCATCAAGACAAAGTTATCATTGTCTTGTTCTATTTGCGTTGTCCCACTACAAAATCTATGCTTACGTCTATTTCAACTCCAAAACATATACTTCCTTCCAAAGTATGATAGAATAAATAACCATCTTTCTTAGGCACAAACTGAGGTAAAACTACACATAGACACCTCATGAACCAAATCTTGAATCATAAAATCTAAAAGATGCTTCTGATATGATCTGGAGCAAATCAAGACAATTCTCCACATAAATTAGAGCAAAACAGATTTTTTATTGTAATAATCCAAACAACTCACACGAATACAAAAGATAAGCACCTATAGTTCGAGAGGTAAGCAATCTCTCCCACTTCCTACAATTCCAGAGGTAGGAAATGTTTCCCAAAACCTAACCTAAGACTCACAACTCAATCTCATGCATAAGCCTAACCCTAAACATAATAAGTCTATTTATACCCAACAAAAATAATAATAAAAGACTAAATTGCCCTTAGGCATACAAAAGACAAGCTTGCCCTTAAGCATACAAAAAACAAACTTACCCTTAAACTAGGTAAGATGTAAGATACTTCCATCCCAAAAGACACCTTGTTATCAAGGTGGAAAAAAATTAGACTCTTGCTTGATCAAGTCGGGTGGCTTCCACCTGGCGTCATTATCTGACCATTTAATAACGAATTCATAGTGACCCACGAGAATTAGTCTTATGCACATTTTTTGGCTGCATTTGAATCGGTTGGTAGCCAGATTTCCAATCAATCTTAGACAATATCGTAACCCCAAACAACTCATCCTATGACTTGCCAATCACCGAAATCTCTGTCAACTCCGTCTCACATGTCTCTTCCATCTCTGTCAACTTCGAATCAGCTTGTTTTTATTTGTCCAAGTCATCCAAATGTCGTATTCTTTCTTCAAGTGTTTTCGCTCGAGTTTGCTCCGAGTTTCTTTGCTTGATACCACAGCTTCCAATCCGCCTAAAACTATGATGTTACCCTCATGTCACGCGAATCCTTTTGGTTGTTCCTGCTGGAGTCCGTTCCCAACATCGTCGCTCGACCTCGTGCCGAGCGTTTGCAGTATTGTGTAAAACTCCGTTATCTTCTTCATCACTTTTTGTATTTCTCTTATGATATTGAATTCGTCTCTCTATGAAAAAAAATTCACTTTCTATATTGACAAATATTTTTTCCTCAGATTTGATTTGGCCAATCTCTTCCTCCAACTTTTTTCTCTAAATCATCAACTTTTTTTGTTGTCATCACTCACAAAAAAGTTTTTTTATCACAAAGCACAAAAACACCTGCACAATGAAATCCTGTCGATTGATTCGAGTCTGTATCGCGAGAACATACGCCCGTCGTCGATCTGAATAAAGTTGGTACAAATAAACTAAAATACAATAGCTTCGTACGTGAAATGCGTCTCTAAGTTAAAATTAGTAGCAAAAATCTTGTCGGTTGAAATAAAGTGATGATCTGCGCAAGCCCAATAACTCGAATCGTGTCACTATAGCGGCTGAGAACTGAAGAAAACCAGAGTTCAGGTCTCTGTACGCTGCTTCTTCGTTGTTGCCTTCCCAGCTAGCTCTGATCGCGACGGGATCGCGTAAATGACGCGAGCGGAAGAGAAGAATGGAAGTTTCGGATCTATGTACGTCACTTCTTGTCTTTGCATTCCACGCAACGGTTCGCAAAGAGATCTTCATCTGGTAAGGCCGCGAGTTCGTCTTTGCCTTCTTCTGTAAGCCGCGAGCCCATCATTGCCTTCTCAGATCACTGCAATCGCGACTATATCGCGAGCGTCGGTCATGCAAGCGCCACCATCACGACAGTAGTAACCCGGCCTTTGATTCCCTTCACGATTTTGTACGCGACGAAAAACGACGCGAGCGGAAGAGAAGAATGGAAGTTTCGGATCTATGTACGTCACTTCTTGTCTTTGCATTCCACGCAACGGTTCGCAAAGAGATCTTCATCTGGTAAGGCCGCGAGTTCGTCTTTGCCTTCTTCTGTAAGCCGCGAGCCCATCATTGCCTTCTCAGATCACTGCAATCGCGACTATATCGCAAGCGTCGGTCATGCAAGAGCCACCATCACGACAGTAGTAACCCGCCCTTTGATTCCCTTCACGATTTTGTACGCGGCGACGCTTCCCATGACTTTTTCGACTCTGAACGCCATTATCATTGAACGTCGCGATCCCTTTGCATCCTACGACTGTAATTGTATCTTGATCAGCTTCCCGAGTGCGCATGATTCTTCGTTCCACAGATATCGTTTGTGGCATTCCCTAATGGATCGAAACTACGGCACTCAATCCTTTTTCTTTGATTCCCAGAGCTGAGTACTCTTATACCAATTTGATATGATCCGGAGCAAATCAACACGATTCTCCACAGAAAATTGGGCAAAACAAATTTTTTATTGCAATAATCCAAACAACTCACACGAATACAAAATCTAAGCACCTATAGTTCGAGAGATAGGTGATCTCTCCCACTTCCTACAATTCTAGAGGTAGGAAATCTTTCCCAAAACCTAAACCTAAGACTCATAACTCAGTCTCATTCATAAACCTAACCTAAACATCCTAAGAGTATTTATGTCCAACAATAATAATAATAATAAAAGACTAATTTGCTCTTAAGCATACAAAAGATAAACTTGCCCTTAGACTAGGCATAGACGTAACAACTTCTCACATTCATATTCGTTTTGGCATACCTGATAAACAAGTATGTTTGAAGAAACCAAGCCCTGGAATGGAATCTAAGATATGTTGAACCGCTTCAAACGCGATCATTCGGGAGGTAAACCATCAATTGAAGCATCCGTCAAAACTCTCAATAAGGGCTATCTTTTTTTGTATCGGCTCTTCGAACTCATTATCTTTTAAGACAAACAATGTTAATTCTATTGCGATCTCTTTCTTGGACTCAGCTTGAATCACAAACAACTCTTCCTTTTCGACTAGAAATTGAGACTCTTCTCTGACATCTTCATTCTCTCATGTATGACATCTTCATTCTCTCATGTATCATTATTCATTTTTTTCAACTGCTCTCTAGTTAGTGAAAGATATTGCCCTCATATTTGAGTAAAAATCAGATGCCACGTGGCCAAAACAGTGACACTTGAAGCATTTACTAACAAGGATGTATTTGGGGTGTTGATGGGCTCCACATTTTCTCCACTCTATATTAGTTTTTCCTATAACGGAGTTAGCTTAAATGCTCCATTGGGTGTATTTTGGCCTAACAAGGATGTATTTGGGGTGTTGATGGGCTCCATATCTTCTCCACTCTATATTAGTTTTTCCTATAATGGGGTTAGCTTAAATGCTCCATTGGGTGTATTTTGGTTGGCTAATCCGATGGTTGAATCCTATTTGAAGGGTGATGTGGACCTGATACTGTTGTATTATCTCTCCACCTTCAAAGCTAAATTTTAGACATATTGTAATATCTAATAAGGTTGTAATCATGCCACATTCTCAATGGACGATCTCAATCCCCTCAGATATCGTACTATGGTGTTCTCCTCGGGTCCCAATAACCCATATTTTAATATAAACTGCTCAAACTCAGTTGTGTACTTCTCTACTGAGATATCTTATTGCGGTAAGTCATGATGTCTTTAGAACATGTTCTGTCTGCAATGATTTGATAGATATTTGCATTGCATCTCTCAATTCATTTTGGATAAAGCTGTGATTTTATTTTTCCCTTCTCCCTATCGAAGATGCTTCATATTCTCCCATAATAGAGTACACTCTTCTTTAACGTAATAGCGCCTAGTTTTATTGTTCTATTCGATGAAACATTCTTGTACTCAAAGATGCAGTTTACCACTTGGAGTCAATTAATGAACCTGCATGGATTCATGCAACCGTCAAAATCATACAAGTCAATTTTCACTCCAAAATCATGGTTTCTCCCTTGATATTCTATGCAAAACCGTCAAGGTATTGATTCTTCGTTACTAAAAACTTTTCTATGAAAGGGATTCACTTCCTTTTCTCGAGCTGGCGAGTCATCATTGCGGTTATGAGTGACCTCATCAAATTATCTCCTCTCATAGGCAGCAAGTCTATGCTAGAGTTGGAGTATTGCCCGCTACATATCCTTCATGGTAAGTTCTACAACACTTCGTTGAGGGTTTCTCCTTGGCGACATGGCATCATTTTCTTATGATCAGGTTTTCAGCGAAGGTAGGATTGCAAATCAAAATTGGTCGAGAGCTTAGGTGTTGTAGTAGATGTCAGAGTGAAATTTTGTTAACATTAGGAATGTTGGATTTTGAAAATTTAAGATTGGGGCTAAGAATTACAGTAAGAATGATTTGACTATGGTGAAAAGTTTATTTAAAATTTTAGATTGGCATAGAAAAGACAATCCTAAAATATCTTGGGCTTATTAGGCTCTGATACTAGATGATACCGTTCTAAGACTCCTAAAAAGTATTACGAAGAGGATTAGTGGGGTTTGAATGTAGAGTGGCAAGAGAATATAATAATATGTGACTTTGATGGCATTGGAACGGGATAAGCATCGTTCGACGCTGTTCCGACTGAAAATAGCAAAAAGAACTTTGAATCAGTGACATACGAAAGGCGAGAAGGTTCACAACATATTCATGAGTCAGATATAAACACACCACTTACAAAAGGAAGAGAATACAACACTCCTAAAGTAGGAACTCGGAGATTACAATCTTTATAATAGTCAAAACAAAACAAAAGTCTGCCTAAATAAAGAAAATAGCAAAATATAAATAGTTCATTCTCAAAACCCTAATTCTAATCAAGGAAATATTAAATATGGGCCCTCAAGGGATGGTTGCAGTGAAATAGCAAGAAAATCCGCTCGCTTAGCTTTGCGGATAGCATGAATTGCACCCATTGGGACTAAACTCGGTCACCATCCCGTTTGCGCAAGATCAATTCCCTCAATTGCGGGAATACCGCGATCGCCAAACCGTGAAACGGAATGTTCACAGGAGAACTGTCGTGTCAAATATGCTCTCATGTTTCAACACGAACTTGTCAGATAAGATTTTTCCATTTGCATCTTAGCTAGCTATCTTTCATCAATGCTAAAATTTATGCATACTCTCATGCATTTAAGTAAACTTTTGGTTTCACTTGCTGTCAAACAGCTCAAGTCTACTAGTAATTAAAATGTTCAACACATTAAATTTCTAGTCTACTAGTAATTAAAATGTTCAACACATTAAATTTCTAAGATAATATATTCTTAATTGTTGTAATAATACACTTTTATGCAAATCCAAACACAAGCAAAAAAAAATCAACAGTAAGATACAGACAAACTGATGCAATTAAGTATACAACAAGACAAAATGATTATAAGAATCATTTGGTGATTCTTGAAGTTAGAAAACAAGTTTGAAAGACTGTTAATTTTTTTATTTAGTTAGATGTAATACAAAATCAATATTGGTTATAAATACTGCAAACTCATACAATTTTTTTCAAAAGTAATCATTTCAATTTCAAACCCAAACTGGATTAAAATTGTATATCTAAATATATAAACGGTTTAATGGCGTGGACTAGACCAGAGCAAAATGAATTCACTCGAGTTAGCATAACTTACACAAACATATATAAACTCACCCTATCTAGACAAAGCTTTGGTCAACTCACTGAACAATAAAAATCTTAAAGGGTTCTAAAGGATATTCATCAAAGTTCAAACTCATTGGTCCAAGATTAGGCATATTTTCCCAAGCATGGCAACAACTCGCCAAACCGGTGACTTCATCAAGAAAGATCAATGACTTCTTCTTAGCAAATCAGCTGCAAGTCTAAACGCTTAATTTTATCTAACTTAGACTACACATCTCATGCATTTTACAAAAAATTGTTATGTACTTTTTTATTCATGTAAATCAATATACAGCTTTTCCTATATTGCCCAAACTCTGGTCCAAACATATAAATAGGAGATCATGGGGAGAACCCGAGTTATAAAATGTATTCTCTTTGAATTATTATAGTGAAATCACATAGCTTCTTACCAAAATCTTCTCTTTCTTATTTTATTTGATCTTTCATACGTAAGTGCTAGTAAGGTTCTCATGTAATTCACAGAAAATTTTGGATCCAACAAAAATAATGTCAACATTTTTTTTAAATACGATTTATGTCTAGCCCTATATGACCTCAATATCATAATAGATCCATCAAACCCTTGCTCTCAGGTCTGGCAATACAGAACAGAGAAAAACCATATGTTCATACGTCATAACCCTTCCCTCACTGCAGCGGCCCAGTTTTCATCTTCATGGTCAGTTGTGCACTATGTCTAACTCCTTATCTATTACAATTTCATGGTCATGGCAAAGCCAAATATGCTACTTTCCTGAAAATTCACAGGTAAAAACTGAGCATAATTACCGAACGAGGACGGGAGGGATGAGGAAGAATTTGGGGTACGGAAGACACGGGAAGGCGCTCATCGATGTAGACATTGCGGAGCCCGGAGAAGAGACGGACGAGGAGGGAAACGAGCTCGTCGGCGGGACCAGAGGCGCCAATCCGGATTGTGGGGCGGAAGCTACGATCGATGGCGAGCCACCGTCGACACACGAGGGAAAATGCATCGCAGTCGGATTTGGAACCGGCGATGCGGAGGAAGATAGAGGTGACGATATCTGTCGGCAGTTTCGTGTTGATCAGATCGTTTCCCCTCATGGTGACATAAGGAAATCGGCTAAGAATGCGGGGAGAGCGGTGGGGGAGGACAATCCAAATACTACGAAGATTGTCTTTCAACTCTGGGAACTCTCATCCAATACCTGAGAAATAAACTGCATCTAGTGTATGTACGAAGATTGTCTTTCAACTCTGGGAACTCTCATCCAATACCTGAGAAATACCTGAGAAATAACCTGCATCTAGTGTATGTGATATAAACTGAATATAATGTCCATATAACACAAATATAATTTATATTATGTATGAAGTGCCTTAAGTCCAAATACCACACATTTTTATGTATTTATAATATATATATATATATATATTGAATTTTGTTTATATTAGCACAAACATTAATTATATAACAATCATATAATGAATTTTGTTTATATTAGCACATAACATTAATTATATAATGAATTTTGTTTATATTAGCACAAACATTAATTGAACATTAATTAGCACAAATATATATATATGTAAAAATCATATATATTAGCACAAACATTAATTGAATATATATATATATATATATATATGACCAAAATATAACATTACTATTAAATCAAAACATGATTACAAGGTTTGCATCTAATATAAGGGATATCTAGATTATCCCGATATAATAAAATCCTTAAAGCAGAACAAGGCGTTGTGCTTAAAACACTCT